TAGAATTAATGAGATCAGAACAAAACCACATGACCATGCTAAGGACCTGCTGCTTTGCAAACCATAATGATATTTTAGGGAGCCAGAAATAAAATCATGCTTATTGTGTGTCCAGGATTGAGTTGGCCAAACAGGAGGACAATGGTGTGTTAGCTGTATCCACAGACTCCAATAAGTCCAGAGTCTTCCTGGAGGCAGGAAGGCGCCATCCATAAAAGCTGAGCAAGAGAGGAGAATCAAGGGCTTAACTCTGCCTTAACCCTAGATCTTTCACAGTGGCTACTTGAGTTTCTGGTCAACAATACTTCAGGGCACAATTATACCGACTTTAGAATACCAGTTCTGTTCTCAGCAGAAATAGCTGAGTTACCTTTGTCAAGTTCATTAACCTTGTACCTACGGTTTCTTTTCTGGAGAATGTGGTGAATGAAGGCACCTACTTTTTCATATAGGCAAAACACTCCTAGAGGTGAGAGGCTGTGAAATGCCATGTTGAAAAACAGATTTCAAAGCCACACTGCCTGGGTTCTGATATCAACTCCAGCACTTATCTGCTGTACGTGTATGATAGCAGGTAAATGAACTAACTTCTCAGTATCTTGGTTTCTCATCTAAAAATCAAGTAATAATAATACCAACCATGCAGAATTATTGGTGAGGACTGAGCACAATTAAATGCACATAGAGTTGTGAAAACAGGGCTGGTATACAGTAACCACTATACACATGCTTGTTATCATCTGGATACCATTGCTTGTTTCCTGGAATCAAAGACAAGTACTCCACTGTGAGATGCGGGCATTTCACTAGCATCTTTTTAAAATTTTTAAAAGATTTATTTATTTTGAAAGTCAGAGCTTTCATCCTCTAGTTTACTCCCCCAGGTAGCTACAATAGGCATTGCTGGGCCTGGCCAAAGCCAGAGCCTCATCTGGGTCTCCCACATGGGTGGCAGGCACCCAAACACCTGGGCTGTCTTGTGCTGCTTTTCCCAGCCTTTTAACAGGGAGCCACATTGAAGTGGAGCAGCCAGGACACAAACCAGTACCCATATTGGATGCTGGCTTTGCAGACAGTAGCTTTACCTACTATGCCACAATGTCAGCCCCTCAACTAGCATCTCAATCCCTAGGCCTAACACCAACCCCCTCTTTTTCCTTAGGATTAGATATTGGCATTTTTAAAAACCAATCTTTACTAAGATCCTTTTGAACCTTTAATGTTATTTAACTTACTTAATGTTACTTAATCCCTATATCCAATTATTTCCTCCCTCTGAATGCAAAAAGTAATGATTTTTAAAGCGTGCACACAGAAAAGATGGACACGTATTGGGAGGATGATAAATGCACTAAACGTTTGCTCAGGGCAATTTCTAATTTTGTGTCTCTTCCCCTTGCTCCCCATGGCACTCATTTTAATGTTTCTACCATTCATTCATTCATTCATTCAGTAGTTACTGAGCATTCTTGCCAGGCACCATGGTAAGTCATGGAAAATAACGATGCTGACACTGGAATGGTGTCTCAGAGCTTACAGATCGTTTTCACACACATTAAATTCATTCAGTCCTCAGAGGCATTCACTTCATTTTGCCCCAGATGGTCCTCTTCTTGAACTTCATGTTTCTTACTGCCTGTCCTTCATTCCTTTCCTCAAGTCGTCAGTGTGTAGGATATGGACTAAGTGCACTGGTGAGGGTTGGGGTGGGAGCTGGCTGGAACAGAAGTTGGGGGGGGGGTGATGTTACCAGTGTCCTACACTTTGGCATCAAAGGACAAAGTACTTAAAAAACACACTGTTTCTTATTTTGAGAAAGATAACAAATTACTTGAAAGGGACCAATGAGCCTGAATTTATCCAGTAGAAACTAGCTAGAGACTAAATGGTGAGGTATTGTTTTTCCTGATCCTTCCCTGCCCCTTCCAATTCAGCGTATTTAACATAGTGGAACTCCTAAAGAGTTAGAACTCCTTTTCCTCCTTCTTAAACACTCAGGCCTACAAGTCCTAGCATCAAAGTTCCCCAATTACATTTCTTCTTGAATTTCATGATACCGTTCAAGATGCAAAAAACAGAACACACAAAATTAACCAGAAAATTGTTACTTGCGTCTCAGATCTTCACTGTTTTATTCTCGTGTGTCTCATGTGCAACCTGGCTTCTGTACGGAAATGCCTAGGGCTTTTCTGTAGTAGACTGGCTTGTGGTGGGTGTTACGACAAAAGGCAGAGACTGGCAGTAGTGCGCTGTTGTGTATAAGTCTGTAGTATCTCATAGTGAGTTTACACTCAGATGATCACTTTAAATGTACCATGGAGAGTCGCAGGATACAAGCAGATGATAACAATACATGAACTTCCACTATGAGGCACACTGAGCTCATTTCTGACCCGTGCCTTTTCAACTTGATTGTCCTTCTGTATGGAATGCCCATTCTCCACAACTTTCCATGAACTTATTTATAAATATCTACATAAGTATCCGTATTTATTAAATTTCCTTCACAGAATTGTAAGCACCAAGAGGGCAGTGGTTGTTTTTTGATCGTGCTGCCTAGAACATAGTAGTGGCTCCTGAAAATACTGCTGGAATAAATGAATGAGCAACGGACTCCTACCCGATGCCCATGGTATGCCAGCTCTATTCTAGGCACTGGGGTTATAGCAATGAATCAAGCAGAACAAAATCTTGGAATACCTGGAATTGCTCTGAGCAGAGTGACCTATTTGATGGGGTTTCAGCAGGGCCCCTCTTTGTGTTCGGAGTGGTAAAAGGCTGTAGGGGGCTGCTGTGGAAGCAGTTAGGAGACCCAGGCGATGATCCAAGCAGGAGGTAGTGTTGGCTTGGTACAAGCTGGTCACCGGGAGGTGGTGGAACCTGTAGATAGCATGGAAGTACTGTGATGTATATGTGATAGGATTTGCTAAGACAATGCACAAAGGTATTGATGCCAGAATATGAGCCAAACTGACACAACACAGCAGGCCTTTTTTTTTTTTTTTTTTTGGATTTGCAGAAAAGAGACTGGTTTTGTCAGGGCTGTGGCACTGACACAACAAATAGCACAATTACCTCTAAAATCAGCACTGGAACTTAGCACTTTTGTGTCATCTATTATTTATCCCAAAGAACAAAACAAGAAAGGAGTGGTGAAATATATTTGGTATTAAAATCGGTCCTTGCAATTGAGTGAGCCAGTCTGGGGCTTGATCTGATTTCAGCACACCGACATGAGCACCATAATTGCTTAGCAGACGTAAACATTTCGAAAGGAAAATGACAGTTATCCGTGACGAGACTGTAAAGCCCGCTGGGTAGTTAAGCTAAAGGGTAAACATTATCAAGAAGGAAGATTTGGCCGACTTGTCCTGATGGATGGCCTGCACCTCAAACTGATCAGACAACTTCTCGGACCCCTGACTGCCTGTTGGGCTACGCGGGGAGTGCCTCGGAGATTATTCAACCTTGGAGTCTCCTCTACCTGGAAGCGGCAAACAGCAGGTGCCCAGCAAACATTCGCTGAACCTGACCCGTGTCGTGTCGTCTTATCTTCCTCTGGCTTCTCCTCGGCTTCCCGACGCGCTCAGGTGCACGTATATATTTGTATACAAAGTCATAAATACATTCCGGACTTGTGGGGCGGGAGGCAGTGCGTGTGCAGGCAGCAGTCCGGAGACTCTACCCTCTTGGGAAGCCAGGGAAGGCTTCCGGGGGAGGTGGCATGTGGGCTGCCATCTGTCTAGTAACGTGCAAGGAGCAAGTGTTGGGGAGCCAGAAAGGATCTAAAAGATGCTGTCCCATCTACAAAAATCTCCCTCTGGGGAAATCGGGGAAGGGCTGAAGGGAATGAGGGGGACGTGGAGGAGAGCGGGGGTGCATGGATCTCTGGCAGGATCCACACGTGGGAGTGATCAGGCAGACACTGGGATTTCTTGTATCATTTACAATGTCCAGTATGGACTCACTCTTCCCTCAGTCTGGCCTAGACAGCGCTGCGGGGGAGGGAAGGTGGTTGCATTGGCCGCCCCCACATCACACCCTTCGCCCAGCCAAGTCCCTGGTGCTGTAATAGCTCACAGCTTCCTACTTTGAGGTTCCCCGACCAGCGCCTCTGGCGCTGCACCCAGAGCTTGAACTTGGGGAAAGAGTTTTGCACAGGACTCTGAAGTCAACCTTTGGTGTCCAGGGCTCGTTTTGAGGCCACCGTGCACACAGTGTGGCTCCTTCCGGGTTGGGCGGCCTTCTCTGTGTCTCCAGATTTTTTTGTTTCTAAAACTACCATACCCCAGGAAGGCAGCGCCCGGGCTGCGTGGTTTGGATGGGTCCATTCCGGGGTCGGCCGGGCTGGAGGTGGCCCTGCACTTCCAGTCCCAGGGCTGGGAGTGTCAGAAAGTTGGCGTCCTCTGTCTGAGTCCTCCGTGCGGGCCGGGGTTGGAGGGAATCGGAGTGGTCACTGCTGTCTTGCGACGAAGCCAGTCCCGGGCTCTGAGCGCTTCGGGAGAAGGGAGGAAGTTGGGCAGAAGCACGGAGCCGGCCGGGGGGGAGCCAGGCGTGCGGTGGGCTGGGAGCGAGGTCGCCCCGGTTGCGCCTGAACCAGGGTGGAGCCAGCAGCCTAGCCGAGGCCCCGCGTCAGCGTTTAAGATGCAAATCGATCCCGCAAGCACGCCCCACCCTCCCGCCTGGGGTGGGGGGAGCCTGGCTCCACCGCTCAGCGGCCGCCCACGCCTCCTGCGCGCCACGGCGCCAGAGCGGGCGCCTCTACTTAAGCTGCGCGCGGGCTGCGACCTGGCACTCGCCTGGAGCTCGCGGGCGAGGCAGCCGGAGCGCAGCGGAGCTCCCGCGGCTCACAGCGGGGCGCGCTAGCTGCACTTGGCTCCGTGCGGCTCGGGCTCGGGCGGAGGGCTGAGAGCGCGTCCCGGGCAGGGGCTCCGGGGAAAGCGGCTGCAGCTTTCGAGTGCAGTCCTGCTCCCTGCCACTGCCCCAGCCGGGCCACCTCTTTGCCATGGCTCTGGCGGACAGCACGCGAGGATTACCCAACGGGGGCGGCGGCGGGGGCGGCAGCGGCTCCTCATCGTCGTCCGCCGAGCCGCCGCTCTTCCCCGATATCGTGGAGCTGAACGTGGGGGGCCAGGTGTATGTGACCCGGCGCTGCACGGTGGTGTCGGTGCCGGACTCGCTGCTCTGGCGGATGTTCACGCAGCAGCAGCCGCAGGAGCTGGCCCGGGACAGCAAAGGCCGCTTCTTTCTGGACCGGGACGGCTTCCTCTTCCGCTACATCCTGGATTACCTGCGGGACTTGCAGCTCGTGCTGCCCGACTACTTCCCGGAGCGCAGCCGACTGCAGCGGGAGGCCGAGTACTTCGAGCTGCCCGAGCTCGTGCGCCGCCTCGGGGCGCCCCAGCAGCCCGGCCCGGGGCCGCCACCACCGCACTCGCGGCGCGGGGTGCCCAAGGAGGGCTCACTGGGCGATGAGCTGCTGGCCCTGGGCTACGCGGAGCCCGAGCAGCAGGAGGGCGCCTCGGCCGGGGCGCCGTCGCCCACGCTGGAGCCGGCCAGCCGCAGCCCGTCCGGGGGCGCGGCGGGCCCGCTGCTCACACCGTCCCAGTCGCTGGACGGCAGCCGGCGCTCGGGCTACATCACCATCGGCTACCGCGGCTCCTACACCATCGGGCGGGACGCGCAGGCAGATGCCAAGTTCCGGCGGGTGGCGCGCATCACCGTGTGCGGCAAGACGTCCCTGGCCAAGGAGGTGTTCGGGGACACCCTGAACGAGAGCCGGGACCCTGACCGGCCGCCGGAGCGCTACACCTCGCGTTATTACCTCAAGTTCAACTTCCTGGAGCAGGCCTTCGACAAGCTGTCTGAGTCTGGCTTCCACATGGTGGCCTGCAGTTCCACCGGCACTTGCGCCTTTGCCGGCAGCACCGACCAGAGCGAAGACAAGATCTGGACCAGCTACACCGAGTACGTCTTCTGCAGGGAGTGAGCTCCCGGGACCCCTCGCGGCTCCGGCGCCCGCCCCCACCCCTCGGCGGGGGAGAGGATCAGAGACCGCTCCCCATCCCTAACCTTTGCCCTTTGTCTCCCTTTGCCCCGAGGTCCCCAATCCCCGGTCCTGTCCTGGTTAAGACCGTTCCACCCCCCCACCCCCTCCCCCACCCCCGCTTCAGAAAAATCCATCCTCTTTTCTTTTCTTCGGACTCGGCTAACCCAGGGGGCCCAGGCGCGTCCCCGTCCCCACCCCCACCCAATGCTTCCTCTTTTTGCTGCCTCAAACCTCTCCTCCCCCAGATTGTACTTCAATCTGGATCCAGCGGGCCAGTGTGGTCACAAAGCCGGCACGAACGGGGGGGGAGAACCGAGGTGTTGGGAACCCGTTCAGACTGTGCAGTGCTGCGAAGATTCCTTGAGATCTCTAGCCCTTCTGACACCCGTGTGGTGTGAGGGCGCAGAATGGTGACCCCGCCTGGGGGAGAGAGTTGGTGTCCTAACAGCTCACTGCCATCGCTGACCCTCTGTGAAGCCGGATTGAGGGCGTCGCTGAGGCACTTCGGTTGTACACGAGTGAGGTTTTGAAAAGCTGCAGGTGTAGACGTAGGAGCACTGGTGCTCACATGGTCAAGGGTCCTGTCTTTTCCCTACGGAATACAGGGTCTTGAAACTTGGAGAGCGTGGATCCTCCTGCCTGGCGAGGCGCCCTTTCAGCGCCAGGAGCCCTTGGTTCCCTGGGGTGACGTGGGAGCCCTTGGGGGCAAGAGGGAGAAGGGGTGTTGGTCTCCTAAGAATTAGAACCAAACAGGCCTCCGCTCCGTGGGGAGTGGTTACCTGGAAGTGATTGTATTCGCGACCGGGCCAGGAGACGCTCGTGGGCATTAGCAGAACTGTATTCTTGCAGTGAATGGTAATAGGACCTTTCTTAGAGCTAGGACTTTGCGGGTGGGGTGGGGAGGTAGGAGAAGAGGGTGGGAAGGGAGGGACAGATAGATACTCTTATTATTTGAAAGTTAGAAGTTTTAAGCATCCATTTGAATACGTGCATATTTGAAAATACCGAATGGTAAAATGCAAACACAGCTAAGCATTTCGTGAAGATTAGTAATAGACCTACTCTTAACTGCGGTTTATTTAACTGTTTTTAGTCCTAAACTTAGAAGTTGCTACTAGGTATCTAATCTAACCAAAGAGTTACCCAGTAGGGTTTTAGTTTTTGAACTTTTAATTTCCTTGTGGTTATCAATCTCGATTTTAGAATCTATTTACTTGAGCAAAGGGAGTTTGCTCTTGGCTTCTTAGACTTCAGATCTCATTAAAAATCCTCATTTTCTTCAAAGCCAGTGACCCTTGACTGCGGGGCAAACCTGAGAATGCCACATTCCCCCCACGCAGTTTGTTTGAAGTTCAAGTAGAATCTTTTCAAGTGACAGAGCTGCTGAGAAGTAGGAGCACCAGGGGCTACCCATCTGTGTAGATAGCTGTAAAATGAGATTTCTAAAATGAAGGCAAATAACTACTTAACAGCGAGCTGAGCAATAAAATGGTGTTAGAGGTAAACTGTAACCAACAGAAGGAGACCTGGTTGCCTTATCCCCTTCTTCCCACGTGGACGCTGTCCCCAGTGCATACTCTGTGTACACGTGAGTGAAGGGAGACAGATCCTTGTCATGCTTTGGGCTGTGAGGTGTTCTTCAGATACTCTGAGGACAGAGAAGCCCTTTTGTTTGTTACTTTCTCTGAAGTATCTTTTTAAAGATTTTGTAAGAAGTCCTTCTCAGTGTTTAGTGCTATTTTTCTTTTCTTTTTTTTTTGTGAGTCTTGTACTGTATCTTACTGTGTTCATAATGGATGTTAAGAATGGGAACAGTTTTGTTCTTAGACTCATCTGTCCCAACTTGTGTATACCATACCTGAACATTTAGTTTTTTGATTCATTTACTGATGTTATCAAATGCCTATGCCCAGTTCCTTGCATCAGATGATGTATATTCTAAAGAAACATGTTTTGATGCATTTCCTTATGTCCTTGTTTATGAGTGATTGAGTTAGGAAAAAAATACATAATTGCAAAACTGAGTTTACTCCATGCTATTTTTCTTTTTTTTTTTTTTTTTTGGCTGGAGGGGATATTAGTTGTAAACTGATTCAGTGTTGATTAGATTCCTATTTAAAAGCAAGGTACCTGTATTTTTAGTCCACTAGTTTTTCTTTTTTTTTTTTTGAATTGAGAAAGATTTGAGATCTTTTATTAGAGTTCCATTTTTAGAAAAGTTGTTTTCCATATGAAGACTGTACTTGAGAGGGAAATGGAAGCAGAAATCCAGGAAATGGTGTTTGATCATGTGGTGAGTTTAGTCTCAGACTCAGTAATGCATGAGAACTAACCCTGTTTCAAGTCTCAAATGATTGAGAATTGCCACCCACTTGGCCAGAGGTGAGTGTCACAGAGATTTCTCTAACATGTATGGCATCCTGTTAGATTGCTCAACAAAAAAACAAATGATCGTGAACGTTTTAGGACAGACTGAATCCACTGAATCCAGATGGCACCACTCACTGATTCTAATTTCTCTCATCAAATTTGCACAAGTCTAGGAGTCAGAAGCTACTAACGTTTTATCTCTGCCACCCTGGTCTTCAGAATTCATCTTCTAAAACTTTGAGTTAAACTACTGCACTTTCTTGTATGTAGGCATCTTAAGCCTCAACCCACCACATCCTTACTGTCCTGCACCCTTACATTGCTTAGAAGATTGAGAACTTCATGATTATATACAGTCAACTTACCCCGTTTTCTGTGGGTGACTGTTCGCTCTGAAGTTGAAGTCAGTAAATGAAAACTATCTACTATTTGCCCAAAGCAGAGCCGGGGTGGGAAACTCATTTCACATTGCACAGGTAGTACAACTGAGGCAAAATGACGCTCTCTGTGAGCTCTGATCTATGGAAGCAGATCTCCAAGGTGGGCTGGAGTGTTGGTCATTACCTGGGAGCTTGAACCAGGGTGGTGAGGGTCCACATTTTAAATAATGTGGGATATTGTCATCAGGTTTTCTAAATAATTGTAACAGCATTAGTCTGACTCAGAGGTAGGCATTTACGGATGTTCCTCTAGTTACCTTTTAATGTTTAGAAATACAACTGGATGACATTAGACTTTTAGTAAAAACTTTAATTTTTCAAAAAAGAGTTGTTGATTGTGCTGGTTAAAAAAACAGGTACCATGTTGGACACACTGTGTTTTTTAGTATATGTAGACTCTGAGCCCTATTCTGATTTTTCAAATAATACATTGTGGAAAATATTGCTCAAAGATGTGAGTCTTACATTTTTACTCCTTCTAAAACTGTTTGGTGATTCTCATATGTTTATTGGATTGAGAGCTAGTAACACTAGCTAAATTACGTTCTCTTTAAAACTAGACATATACATATACACACACATATATGTACATATAGCCTTCTGCTTCTCTGAGAAAATGCATAATGTGCAAATACTCAGACAAAATGGGCAACTGGCAGTGCTCATAAAATATTCCAGTTTTTATTGGAATTTTCCATGGAATGTTACTACATTAAAGCCATGTAAGGTGAAGCTTTGATAATTTTTTACTCTTCAAATTACAGTAAGTTCCAATCTAATATTCATTTTTATACTCCAGTGTGAAAAATGCTAAATTACAATGCAGACATTTAGAGAAGTATTGACTGGAGGGCGTTGAATTCCTTAAGATTTTTTTTATAATCTAAATTACAAGTACTCTGTTGGCTTAAGCTTTTAAAATAGTAAATGGAGTATTTTTATTGTAACTTAACAGAATCAACACCTTATTTGGACTTCTTCCCTGTTTTTTTTTTTTTAACTTAGTGTATATATCACTTAAAAACTAGATTACTTTTATTAGATGTCCTAAGCCTGTCTCTTGAGAAAGAAGTAAAATACTCTTATTTACAGTACCTATACTACATGTAAAAGGTTTTCTTACAGTCAGGGAAAAGTTATGTTGAAGCTAACTTTTCTTTTGTCATAGTTTTGGACAATAAAAATCTGAAAGTGTTAACATTTGAGGATTTAGATTCTCTACTGGGACCCTTGAAACTTAGTAGAAATTGAACCAGAATATTTACCTTAGAATATAATCTTGTGTGATAGGCAGATTGAATAGTTGACCAAGAATTGTCACTTACATGTTTTGTGATTTTTTTTTTTAAGCCAGCTTTTAAATTCTAAGTGTGTTTTGAAGTATGTGGACATTAATTGTATTGCAAACTATTATACAACTGTCTTTGTGACTTTATAGATAGGTAAATTTGCTACTATTGAATATAAATGATGACCATTGATGATCACTTATGGCCACTATTAGTAACCGTTTAATGACAAAGGTTTAAAACATTCAAGGTGGATATTAATTTTGAAGATGGAAATTATATGTTGCTTAAAGTTTTCCAAGCATTTAGATAAGGTGAGTCCTACAGAGCTGTCTAGGATTCTGAAGTTGTTGAAAAGTGTTTATTGGGCCATTTTCTTAAATATATAAGAAAAAAATTGTTCTGTGCTTTCAGACTTTTCTAACAAAACAGAAAGCCAAAAAAAAAAAAAAAAACCAACAAAAACCCACACACCTCTCTATTTTCAAAAAAGATGCTAATGAAGTTATTTGAGACTTTCTTCAATCATTAAGTGCTGTAGCGATTTTTGTTCTTCCTGTTCACAAACAGTTGTATAACAGAAATACTCGATACTGTTTTCTTCCCTGTGTGTGAAGTAATGAATCATTGATTATGTGACATGTTATGTATTAAACACTAAAGAATAAAACATTCACTCCTTTAATTATTCTCTTGGCTCCTTGATATGGATTGGCTTGGATGCTGGTCTAATTTCATTTAAGATGTTCTCTCAGTATGAGGAATGCTTCCCAAATTGGTGTGGAACTGATGATGAGTTGATGCCATCGGAGGACCTCATCACCGAGAGACTGGCCCATTGGGCAAGGCATGAACCTGTCCCTGTGCCTCAGTTTCCTGTCAAGAACACACACGTGGTTGATGTCAGTGTGGAAGAAATGTCCTTCACATGCATTTCCATTGATCTCCATCTCTGCAGCTTATTCCTGCTGTGAGGGTGGGGAACGCAGGTAGTAGTGACCTCCTGAAGGAAACAGTAGCTGCACCCTGAGCCTTAAATAAAAGCTCAACTCCTGCAAACAGAATTCTAAAGACTGTTGGGAAAGAGGGCCTGCATTTGGGATAGGAGCTCTTTCCGTGCCATCTCCCGTCCTGATGTCCCTTCTCTCGAAAGAAAACAGTGGCTCACTTTGGGAGAGGACAGAAACTGGAGCCTGCGGTTTGTGGCACAGGAAGGCGTGGGTAGAGTGAGCCAGGCTTCGCCCTTCCTCTTTTCTCTTGGCTGTACTTCCTCTGGGTGGCTTTTGTTTTTAAAAGTCTGTGTGTATACACAGAAACGCAAGATTTATTTCTTGAATTTATATGGTGAAAAATTTACTACAAGAATGTAGTAAGAAATCGCCCTGTCCTTTTCAGAGGCAACCGTTGATGTATGTTTACAGAGACATTCTATATAAATAGAGATATACCCACCCTCCCCACTTCTACTCAGCGGGAATTAAACCTGTTTTGCTTTTTTTTGTTGTTAAATTTTTTATGTAAAAAATTTTTCTTAGTAGGTTCAATGTGGTTTGTGGGTACAATTCTAAGGATATTCCCTTCCTCTCTACCTCCCTCTCTTCCCCTTTCTCCTTCTCTCACCCTTTGTTTATCTTGGAGCTCCTGAAATGCATGAACATGTAGCAATGGACATGCTTCATTTTATTTGATACCTACATGATACTCTGCTTGATATGGCATTATCGAGATGGGTTACCACTTGTTTTATTACGCCTTTGTTGGTAGGCATTTAATTCACCAGATTGTTCTTCTGTAAAGAGCACTGTATTTAATCTTTTTTAAAATTTTTTTGAAAGAGGGAAAGAGATGGTAAGGGGAGGGAGGGAGAGAGAGAGAGAGAGAATCTTCCATTCACTGGTTTACTCCCTAGATGGCTCCAATGGCCAGGGGTGTGCTAGGCTGAAGTCAGGAGCATCATCTATGTCTTCATGAAGGTGTCAGGGGGCAGGCACTTGGGCCGTCTCCCATTAGCAGGGATGCTAGCAACACAGGTGGCTTTATCCACCATAACGCTGGCCCCTGAATATCTTCTTAAAGGCTCACTATGCAAAAACATGTTTTGAATTTTTTACCTATACAATGATGCCAGGTGAGGAATGGTTTGGAGCTACTTTGTCCTTTTTTTAGGGACTATGGAAATAATAGGATTCATTGGAGGCTCTTGAGGAAATGGGGATAGTGGCGGTATGAAATACATATGCTCCCAGGTTTCCTGTGGGATTGTGTCCTATAAACTCATTGTGTGTTGAAGATACCATAAGTGGAAATGCACTTAATATGCCCTACCTACCAAACATGATAGTGTAGATATTGTAAGTATTGGTTGTTTCCTCTTGTGACTGCGTGGCTGACCAGGGGCTTTGGGTCACTGCTGCTGCCCGCCATAGGGGGAGAGTATTGTGCCATGGATGGCCATCCCTGGGGGAAAAAAAACAAATTCAAAATTCAAAGTATATCTGATATACCTAGTGACTCCATATGGCTTTTATGCCATTGCAAATTGGAAAGATTGTTAAGTTGAATTTTTGTAGGTCAGGGACTGTGTGTAAATCTAGAGTCATCAAGTACATTAGTGTGAAGTTGGATGTAAATTTCATATTGGGACATGTCCCCCTCATTTTTTTCCTCTATCTCATCCTTTTTTAAGAATTTTTTCATCATGATCCATAACTAGGTTTTTATGAATGTAATTCTTGTATATGACTGTAGAAGAGCCATGGTAGATCCCCATTTTTTAAAAAGATGTATTATTTGAAAGAGTGACAGAGAGCGATCAACTGATTCACTCCCAAGATGGCCTCAAGGGCTAGCTGAGCTGGGCCATTTAGGAACAGGAGCTTCATCCGGGTGTTTGCATATGGGTAGCAGTGGCCCAAGTAATTGGACCATCCTCTGCTGCTTTTCTCAGGCTATTAGCAGGGAGCTGGATTGAAAGTGGAGCAGCTGGGATTAGGACTGGTGCCCCTATGCGATGCCAGAATTGCAGGTGACACCTTTACCTACTGTGTCACAATGCTGGCCCAGGATCCTATATTTCCTAAAGAGGCAAATCTAGGAGAGTTGGAAAAGAAAGAGAAGTTATAGGATAAATATGAGGCACCTTCTGGAACACCAGTTTCGCTGAAATGTTTGTGTGTGGGCTGGGAAATTGGGTGCTTTAACTGGTGAGTGATTACAAAAGCTCATTTTGTGGAATGATATGTTTACATGAATTTAAAAGAGAAGATCCTAAATGTTAAACTGAGACTGAACTTGTGGAAAGCCATGGGTAAGTTCATCCTCTTCTGCCATGAGAACCTCGTGGTGGTAGAGTTAAGAACTTCTGCTAATACATGCTGGCCTTGTTTTTATGGTGGGTCATTTAGAGAAAATGTTAAACTCTTAGGTTCTTTGTTTTACTCTGCTTACGTAAGAAGTTTACAAGTAAATGCTCTTCTGGGGACCAAATGAGTCTTTCTTCCCACTTGCCAATCTAAGAGCAGCCTATGGGGCTAAGAAAGGAGGTCTTTGAAACCTCTTTAGGTCATTAGCTCTTGACTTCTGCAACTTCCTCCCATGAATGGCCATTTAACAAGCATGCATTCATGCAAACTCTGGAGCACCCATTGTCTTAGTCTACTTCGATAGAAGAACACCCTAGACTGGATGAGTTATTAACAATGGAGGTTTATCTGGCTCACCATTCTGAGGCTGAGGAGCACAAGTGCATGGCGCTGGCATCTGGTGGGGGCCTTCTGTTGTGTTATAACATGGCAGAAGGGCAAGCAAGCCTGTGAGACAGAGGAAATTGTGCCAAACTCTTCTTTTTATTGGTTTTGTTTTGATCACAAAGTCTCTTCCATAATAACTAACCCACTTCAAAGGTAACCACATCCATCCATGCATAGGGGCAGAGCCTACTAGGACCTAATCATCTCTTAAAGTTGCATCTCTTAATACTGTCACAGTGGCAACTACATTTCAACAGGATTTTGGGAGAGGATGCTCAAACCATGGCAGCTACTCTGTGGCAGACTGTGAAGCTGATGGTGACAAATTTTTAGGACACAAGGATTAGGAGGGGAGTTGAGTCATGATAAAATAATTTGGAAATGCAGTGCTGAGACAGTCTCAGGAATGAGAAGTCAGAGGGGGGGGTTTGTTCAGCTCATGTCGAAGCTTTGCTAGAAGAGGAGATGCTAGGGTGGGAACTTAAAGGAGAGGAAGGAGGAGCAAAGAAAAGGGAAGGGGTGGGCCCTTCAAGCACAGGACATCTTAGGGGACTGAGAGGCAGGACCAGAAAGAGCTCTGTGTTGCTGGAACAATCCTACTCCTACCAAAAAGACAACTGAAAACTCAAACCAAACAGAAACAACTAATCAAACAAACTATGGAGAAGTACTGGGCCATCAGAGTGAGCCTCATCTACAAATGGTTTGAGCTGGGAGGGAGTGTTTAGCCTACTGGTTAAGACAAGTGTGTCCCATGTTGGAGTGCCTGGGTTTGATTGCCAGCTCCCTGCTAGTAATGAAGACCCTGGGAGGCAGCAGGTGATGGCACAACTACTTAGGTCCTTGTCATCCAGATGGGACTCCCAGATTGAATTCTGAGCTTCTGAGTTGGGCCTAAGCCCAGCCCTGAATATTGTGGGCATTTGGTGAGTGAACCAGCACATGTCTGTCTTCTGTCTGTCTCAAATTACAAAAAGAGTTAGAATTTAGTTCTTAGAGTTTACTTAATAACTCTTAAAATCCTCAATAATCGATTAAATTGATTTTGCAAAGTCCACTTGAGGGTTTGATGGGGTGAGTTGAACAGGCATAGCCAGGAAACAATCGAGAAGGCCACATCAAGCCATGTGCAGATCCCTTGTCTGTGACAGTGGGGTTAGGTTTTGTCACCCTTCTTTGCCGTTTGATCCCCTCAGGCTATGCAGTTTTACCTGGGTGAGATTTGTTCATATTGGGATCATCATATTTGAATGAGAAATTCTTAGCAATCCCATGTCTCCTCATCATCAAGTGATGTATTACAGCCTTTAGGGAGACTTAATGGTTTGTTTGGTGGACACTTTGTTGTGCACCTGTTGTTACCCTTAAAGAGTCCTGAATACCGAATCAGCCTTTCAGCTTCAGCAACCATTAAAGGAGCCCTTAATCTATTTGAGATACAGCCATGTGTTTCCAGGTGTGCTTCCTCTGCCATCTCAACAGAGAGCAGAGTGGTCAACTGGCCAATTTACAGGGCCCACCCTTCTGTACATTCCAGAAAACTTAGCATCTTTGGGCTTTCCACACTTCGAATGGTTGGCATTTTATGAACACAATGTCCCCCCACTCCATTACTCTAAATACACTTACTAGCTATTAAGAGTGATTCCCTCCTCTTTTCAAAGAGAAAGATGAAGCACAGTAATGCTGAATCCTGAAGCTGGTTGTTTTTATCATAACTGACAGTTCTCAAGTTATTTACTGTTGATTCTTCACTTTTTACCTTTCTCCATTTGGCTTTCAGGGTAGGTGAGGGAGGATAGAATCCAGGGTTAGAGTAAGCCCTGCTTTTTGTATATAGAAGGAAATGGCAGTGGAAATTTCTCTTTAGGGTTTTTTTTTTTTTTTTTTTTGAGAGACAGACAAAAAGAGAAGTGAGCACCCATCTACTAGTTTA